TATATATATATATATATGATTTAAATCCAAGTCTAAAACTAAAGCTAATGTATCAGATATAAGTAATACTAGTATCGAATGTTTGTTAAAAATTAGCTGCTAACAAACATGTTGTTTTAATTGTCGCAGTCATTTACTAATACACTATTCTTCGAAATCAATCCGGCCGGCCTGCAAGTAAATTAGAACAAAAAACATATATCGTTTTGCTTAAGTTTTTTTTACACATTCGCGTCCATGCTTAAACTGGAGGTTATTGACCTTCGAGCACGTATGCAAGTTTATTGTAATAAATACTGTTAAAATTGGTGAATGATATTAACTTTCAATGTCACAAACTTCTGTTGACAAATTTTGTCTCAATCAGTAGAGAGCGAGACCAAGTCTACGTCGCTGCGGGCAAAATCCTTCGATGAAAAACAGCTAAACTGCCGTATAATGAACAACTAAAAGTCCGAAACTTTGGAGAGAAAATAATCACCCAGGCGGGATGGCGACGTGTTTGGGGTTCATTCGGCGCTAGGCCAACATTCACGGAATGTTCTGGACTATGAAATACCATGGTACATCTCTAGGGTTTAGCAATGGCTGTTTACAACAATACTACAAGACAGATAGAAAGTTTAGATCACCATGGGAACTCTTAGCTGACGCAAACATTAATTTTAAATACCATATAGACTCGAGTGCCGAGGTTATGTTGCTTCCGCATTTAGGCCCGTTATACCTTGTTTTAGCAAACACTCCGCCCGCCAATAATGATTTCGAATAAATCAATTTTAATTTTGGTCCTTAGTACACCTTCCGCTATACAATGTACGGTATAAAAAGGTCTCACTAACTCTCCCTTAAATCTGGTTTAAAAGCTACGGAGTGCCTCAAAACAACATGTCAAGAAAGTGCAGAGCATTAACCAAATAGCAACATCATTGTGTTCGGTTTGATCAAATGATAAAGTAAATTTTGAATTTAAAGAATCGCTGAATCTATCGTCTAGGCAGAAAACTGTAATCCAAAGACTGGCGTGGAGGCTTAGCACTTCAACCAAATACATGGGCCGCCTTTGGTGGTTCTACCGTATTGAAGTTTAACTCGAGATTAAAGTACAAACGTGGATATAGAGGTAAAGGCGGAAAAATATCGAAGATTACGTGATATAGGCCTACCGGTAAATGCTGACATTCCTTAGGAGGATTGACGGTTCCGATAAATATAACTTCAATAATTGCCTCTGTAATACGTTATTATAGGCCTAGATGCTTTGTTTGATGTTGGATTTTTAGCTTACCTCTGAGCGAATAGGTAGTTCTCTGGTAGGATTTGTCTACCACATCAACATTAGTGACAACTCGCGTAGAGTACCGGTATCGATCATGCTGTAGATTTTGGCGCTCTTCAAAATAAGGAATATTATCGGCAAAGCTAATAACTTTCATTTTGATTATTAAATGAGTCAGATTCATCTCATTTGGCTCCATATGTAAGACAGTCATCTATATCTGTGAATTGTTTCGAGAGGGGTATTTTCATTTACGGCACACATGTGTATAGGCTTTATTTTATTAAACTTGTGAACAAAGGAAGCGAATATTGTAATGTTGAATTAATTGAATACAACCCGTACCATTTGGCCAGTTACGTAATGATATTAAATTGTCAATTATACTGGTCTATAAGCGCACGCAGCCCAGTAGCATATGCCTATTAATATTGGTAGCATACCCACGAACCCTACTTTGTTCCAAATGACTATTTACAATAGGCCTATGTAAAAGATGCGCAAAACAATTTTCTACAACAAAATGAAAACTTGCATACCGTATTATATATTACTACTGTATTACATTTCTAAAGCAAATATACCTATTAAACTAGTTTTCCTCTCTGTACAGGGTACAAAGAGGCCGCCTACCAATACGCCATCAGCTCAGCCGGCGTAACTTACGCCATTACGCAGGCGTGTAGCCAAGGCAACATGACTAATTGCAGTTGTGATCGCAGCAAGAAGGCTGGCGTTCTGATGGACGATGGTTGGATGTGGGGAGGTTGCAGTGCCGACATCGAATATGGCATTCAATTCTCTAGATTATTTGTTAACGCAAGAGAAAGTGGAGAGACGGCTAGGTCACTTATGAATCTACATAATAATCATGTTGGACGAAACGTAAGTTGTTGACTTTCTACATTTTGTTGTACCGATTGTAAACTTTTTTTACTAATACAGTAGTATACCAGTGTATGCTTCTGTATTATTAATTACTAAAAGGCACTGTCGCCTAGTGAAGCTTAATAAAGAAAGTGGTTGATCAAAATGTTACAACGATCCTATCAAAAAAATTAGAAAATAATAATAATAATAATAATGTTGTTCATTTTAGGTCAAGTTTAGCCTAAGAAAATTTATAATTATACATTTATAATGTAAATGCGAAATGTTAAAAAATGTGAATTAGTTTTAACATGGCAGTAAAGTTAATCTAAGTCCAAGTTTTATCTAATCAAACCCACTTATTTACAAACCCACAGTCCGTGGAATATTCACAAAATACTTAAAATAGCCTACCATTTTTCCAATAAATCTTATCGGTACTCATCAATATTATAATTATAATTTCAGATTGTTAAAAACAACATCAAAACGGAATGTAAATGTCATGGGGTTTCGGGTTCGTGTACAATGGAAACATGTTGGAGAACCTTACCACAGTTCCGAATTGTCGGCAAAAAACTAAAAGATAAATATTGGAAAGCAAAACATGTAGAACCAGTTCGGTCACGGAAAATACAGTTACCAGTGTTTCTAACGACAAACGCCAAATCTTTCGAGAAACCTCGAAAAATGGACATGGTCTATCTCCACAAATCGCCAAATTTTTGCGAGAGGAGCAGCAAAGATGGTTCGCTTGGCACCTCGGGAAGAGTGTGCAATAGATCCGCTGTTGACACTAGCGATAGTTGTAATTTATTGTGCTGTGGCAGAGGATACAACACACATCAGTATACTAAAACTTGGCAGTGTAACTGCAAATTTCACTGGTGTTGCTACGTCCAGTGTAACGAATGTAGCGAAAGGACAGAAGAGTTTACATGCAAATAAGCAAGTGGATAAAACGAAAAATATGAAGAAGGAAATACCGCACCAGATCGCAGCAAATAATAAACATTCGGCTTTCCAAGTAGAAATTATTTATGAAATAAATATTTTAAATGTTATAGATTTGTAAATATAAGGTATTGTACATATTTCGCATAGGCCTATCCAGCAAAAGTTTGGATGTAAATGCATTGGGTCTTTATTGTCCGAGTAATCGTAACGAAGGAATTTTAGAGACTTTATTTTTCCATTCAATATGTTGAGGATAAACATAAACATATTGTGTTTGTATTTATGTAGGTAATTATAATTTATATCCTATGATTGGAACTGTAATGAACGCTATTACTGCAAAGCAGACGTAAATAAAATTGTATATAAAACGGTAAATAATTGTAAAATCTTGTAGATTTTTTACTATATATATATCAGTTAAAAAAGGAATACATTAGCATGTCGTCACTGTAAAATGCTGACAATGTAGGCCTACACATTACGTCATCGATCATTAACAAATTGTTTAATACATTATGCTTTCACACAAATATGCCTACATACACACTTGGGGTTTGTAGACAGTAACATGTCGCATCAAAACACATCTAAATATACAGTATATCGTCAAGTTTAGACTTGACACTTAGCATCACATGACTTGGTAACTTGCTGTGAAATGCCCTTCTGGAATATCTCCCAAACCATTCACTACATATATACTTTGAATGCATTCCAATCAGTTGATGGGAAATGTATTTTTAGAGTGATGAAAGCTAGAACAGTTGCAGAATTTGATTATTTGGACTGAGAAGGGGAAAAAATTCAACTTATGAAGCACAGTGCGCAAACAGAAAAATTGTATGCCTAATGAAAATGCCTGTTTTTGACAAATGCAGTTAATCTACATTGACATTGACTAATACAATTAATCTATATTGACATTGCCTTAAAAACATAATTGCACAAGTTACAATGTTTAATTTCAAGAGATAATGAAAACAACCAACAGGTCATCATGTTTGCCTTAATGTTAATGTATTTCTGCCTTTTATATGTTACCACAATTCACTCTAATTCATACTTTGTATCAATTGCAGGGGTCGATCAAGGCCTACTCAAGGCATTCCGATATTTAGGAGGATGGGGTATGGGAGTTAAGAAGGGTCAAATACGGAAATAAGCCTAAATTATAGGATGCAAGTTTTGGCCTATCAGCTAAATAAAATAATCACATAAATAATAGACATAATTATAACTGATATTAATAAGTATTGGTTATATACATTTGTAGTAAATCGTATTTAGTAAATTATTAACATTATCATGATTCAGATCATTAATATTTTCATCATTATTAAAAGCACCTTGCTATAACCTGTCTAGATGTACAGTATTATATGAACAAAATTTTGTGAAAAACTGTATTTCTTTGAGAATTGAAACCAAGACATTCAGCCCATCGCATTGGAATTCAAAGCCAAACCCAAACCCTGATACTTACTCCACTGGAATTCCAATTCAACATCCTCCAGCTGCTCCCACATTGGGATTCAAATTCAAGACCCCCCCACTGTCCCTAGACCCTAATACTTACAGTATTATGTATATAATACTAATAATCTAATTCAAGATCTTTCTACTGCCTCATTTGGATTCAATAATAATAATAATAATGCATTTATAATGCGCCATCTATTAGGTAAACCTATTCAGAGGCAATATTCTATGGGTTAGCATAAACATAGTCCCCTGCTACCATAGTTTATACACCCAAGCTCCCACATTTTGGGGGATGTCGCAAGGGTACATAGTTACCAACCCGAGATTCCAAATACGTGACTACACAAGTTGGCGGGTTGGGGAGGGGGGCCATCGGGCCCTCTCCGGGGTCCACCGGCTGGAGGCCAATGGTCAGGTGAGTAACAGGGGTCTTGGGTCAGGGGGAGGCAAAGGTAATAATTTTCCCGGTTAGTAATTTATCACTCCCGGTTAGTAATTTATCAAACGCGCAAAAATTGTTTGTGTTTTTAATTCTAATTTCCTCCGAATTGATCGAAACTCCCTAAGATGTGCAATTTTTAGAGGAAATTGGCCTACTGCAACAAGAAATGCACACGAAGCACGCAAAATTTGAGATTTTTAGGCTTGAATCATGAATTGTATCCTCCATAAAAAGCCAACAAAAAACTTATCAAAGGAGTCCTGTGCTGTGCAAACGTGCCCCACTGTGCTTTACAAATCAATTGCGCGAGTAAAATATTAAGAAAGAGTTAAAGATGGGGGTGAAAAGGGCATCTTCAAGGGGTGGGGAAAGATTTTCCACAGATGGATATTTTCCCCATGTCCCCCGGTGTTTACGCAACTGCGGAGAATATCTGGCGGCTTAGGTCAAAGGAGCTATGGACACTTTTTGAAGTGGAGAAGGGGTTGCAGGGTGTTGTGAGTCTGGTCATTATATCTTCCTTTTTATTGTCTTTATTTTTCTCTTCTCTTTTTCTTTTCCTTTTTTCTTTCCTTTTCTTTTCCCTTTCTTTCTCTTTCCCTCCCTCTCCCCTCTTTCTTTTTACTTATTAACCAGCCCGGTACAACGGCTTGGTCAGGCCAGTAAAAATAATTCAATGACGTGAAAATACTATCTAATGACTCGAGTTACTGCATGAGACATATGACATATCTTCATTATTACATTTCTTTTGCATTATGCATTTCTATATATCTGTACACATGTTTTTACACTACATACAGAATTCTTGTATTCCTTCCCCTTTTCTTCCATTCTAGTACAGACCAGCTGTCTGTGTATTTTTGTACTGGATAAGGGCAGGGGCTGTGAGACAGACCAGTACACCAGGGTAATCCCCTACTCATCTCAAAAGATGTACTGGGTTCTTTTAGTGCACATGAGCCAATTATGTACACTGGGCTTACGGTCTATAGTCCTTATCCAAAAAGACTTGTTCCACCACCAGAACCATAGCGTGCCATTCGAACCAGCGCCGACATTATGGCTGTAGGTTGCGGGCTCCTGCCTTATGTTTTTTTTTTTTTTGCACAAACTTAAAACCATTACACAATTATATCTCAAACTCACACACATTTTGAACAGGTAAATTTTCAAAATAAGTCAATTTTAAACCTCCTTATAAACATAATATAGCAAACACATGGCCATTTCAAGTGTGTGTAGATCTGAATGCTATAATATGCATCTATCAGTGCAATCTCTGTGCAATGGTCTCCATGTCTTTCTTATACAACATTAGTACATACTGTTCATGTAAATCTTGTTTCGTTTACTTGGGTTTTGTCTTTATATACACCTGTCCGTCTCTAATTTCCGTCTGGATCCCCATACTTTGGATCATGTCGCTACTGGCTATTCCTTTAGTATTCATTCCCTTGATGATTTCTTGATTTTCCCGGTTGTTCTCACAAACATTACGTATGGCCAGAGTTGCCCATTGACTTATAACTAGTTTCTGTGTTAAGGGAATAGACTTTTAAAGGCTGCGATGAAAATACATTTGTAAGAAATATTTTTAAGTTTTAGACATGTCAACCTTTCGAGATCATAATTATCATATGGACGGGATCATCACATAATTAGGAACAAATATAGCAACTGCTCATGATTGACACATCACCAATCAGCCACGAACATCTATTCTAGCGCAGACGACACAGGTGAAAATGCGCGGTGCCTTGACAATATCAAATACCCACACTAAAAACTAAACTAACATCACCCATTGAAACAATGGGGGTTTAATCTTCACTTAATTCAAGGCCAGAAACTCTATCAGGACCCCGCATTATTGGACATGCTGAGACCCATGTTTGTAATGAGTTTGATAAATGCCATCATGAACTCTATAACAGAATGAGGTAAAGTCTTGTCCTAGTTGATGCAACTTGAATGCTGGGTATAAGGCCAATCTCAAAATCGCATGTGTGATATGAATTTTTATTTTTCAAAACAGCAGGTAACCCACCACTTACAGAATAGATTATGTATAAATATTTAAAAAAATGAAGTTATATAATGTAAAAGCTCAAATATACAGATATCAGAAAGAAGTAACGAATACACTATAACAGGCCAAAAAATTAGAGATTAAAGAATAATAAAATCATTAATAAAAAAATTTCAACAAAAGTGAAGCAATAATAGCAATAGAGTGAAATTTTTATTGTTAAAAACAGAAATTGTCAGAAATAAAAATCAATAGAGGTGTCTTTAGGGGATATAGTATCAGATATAGCGTCAAGTACTAACTATTAATATTATAATCATACTATCATAAATAACATAAACAAATACAAGAAACAAATCCAAACCAGATTAAATTATTTCAACAAATATAAGAAAGTATTAAACAACAGATCACAATTGAGTTTCTTTATATTATATTAAGCTTCAGTCATTCATCTTCAGAATTTAAATTCCAAAAAAAAAAAACAATGATGAACAAAACTCAAAGAGAAAATACCTTATGCATACATAATTAGGCTTATCATTGATTAACCAAGTAGGGATAAGACTATGCCTACTATAATTAGTTCAGAGTTTGATCATATTGCCTTACATTTTTTATTGTAATTTGTTCAGAGTTCTCTATTAATTCCAAACTAAATCAAATTACTGATTGATTATTGATAAGGATACAAGGGTTATTTGAATCGATTGTACAGTTATCCAGTAGTAATGGTATTCCTTCCAATTCTCTAACCTGTAAAAAAATGAAAGAATACGGTCAGTTCATACAAACATTCAACTCAAAAATCAACTTTAAAGTGTACACAAATTATGTAAGCAAGTTCTTGCTGTAATTATTATTTTTTATGTAACTTGCCAGTTTAGGTACCAGCCTACCAATGCCAGGGTCCTGGGTTCAGTTCCTGTCCGTTACCAGATATTTTTCTCCATATTCTCATTATTAAACAAGCTTAGGTTTAAAAACAGTAATGTGAAGAGTGTATTGGATATTATTACTTAACATGGACTCAAGAATTTACCTAACATGGTACTCAACAGCAGGTAAGAATACATGATGGTAAAATAATCTCAAACATGTCGAATTTTAAACATTTTTCTAGCAAAAGGAAACTTTAGATCTTAGATTAGACCAATAATCATTTAAGTATCAAGTATTCACTTAGGAAGGAGATTACGCTTAGTATGCAAGCAGTACCTCATGTGGGACTTGCAAGAAACAAAAGAAATTGAAGGTATTTTAAGTCAGTAAAATTAATGGAATTTGAAAGATTTTTCAAAACAGCCCTAAATAATTATATTTAAAAGCATTATTATGATAAAACACTCTTATAAAAACTAATTCTCTATGAGAGTTGCCAATGAACTTTTATAAAGTTTTTGTAATTAATATTTTTTAAACTAACGGTGCGCCTCCCTGCTTGAACCCTGAATTTATTAACTGTAAGCCTGATGCTTCATTGCTGTGCCACATTTACATCCATAAACAAAATGTTTAACAACATAATATTTAAACTTCTCATTGAACTGAATGCTTAACTGAAATATTTAAACAACAAAATGGCCGAACTACTTTTGGGGCAAAATACAGTTTGTATGCATCTATAGACAACCAAAGGTGTTGGTGTCTGAATGAAGCTCCCAGTACAGTAAATCCTTGTCACTAGAGAAGGCCACCCATCAATAAGAAAATGCTTCAACTGAGTAACCACCAGGGATACATTTGTCTTTCATTGGTATATATTAACACTAATTCTTATCAATTCAAACATAAAAGTTACAATACCATCAGACAGGTAAACAGGTCTGTGGCATATCAAACACTAAATTTAATCCAATTGTTGAGGTATGCAAAGGAATGTTTTTAAGCAAACACTCAACCCTCATATAAAAAAAAGCAAATAAAGTATTTCGTCAGGCCTGTAACCAGGTGGTTTCTATGGTTCGGATGACCCTGTTTTAGATCTAACCCCTTGTGATATACAAACCATCTCTCCCCTGCTTCACTTTGGTGACCTCCCAAACGAGCTCAGATATATTGTGTATCACTATGTCCTAATCGAATGCAAAATTTATATATTTTATAAATTTATATATTGCATAATTTGTAAGTTTTGCTTTGGACTCAGCATTTTACATTTTCTTAACCCTGGTGGTGTCTTTGAGATATTTTCTATTTATTTTGTGTCTTTATTTGAAGATAATATAACATTTTTTTCCTTATATAAGTTAAGAAGTATGATCATTTATTTGCATTTTTAGTCATATTGTGAGCTCCAAAAGTAAAAGGAATTTCTTCTTTCCAGCTTGCCTCTCCAACCCACAACTTTTTCATTGGACCGGACTTTATTTTCTAAGTCTAAACACCACCATTGTAGATAGTGCTTACTTAGTACACCGGATTGATGGCAGTCACAACAAACATGTAAACTAACATGTCTGCTACTCTTCAATTTATCACACCTCAAAGACAATCAAATTCAAACAATTGCACACTCCCAACTTGATTTATATAACAAAGATAGTAACTGATTTATACCTTGTTGATCATTCATTTAGACAACCCCCAATAAATATCTCCACAATTCTCATTAACTGCTAGAAACCGGAAATTCTAGCAAACCATTTTTCATGCAGAAAGAATTTAAATTTGGTGCTAAGGAGAAATAAACCATAAAAAAATATATTGCTGAAGGGTAAAATGTGTAAATGAGGATCTGTGACCTCCGAGGATGTAAACATGATCAAAGATAAGTTCAAGTACTGAGCAAATACATTTGTAATAAAATGAATTTAAAGTTCACACAATTTGAAAATTTATGACGGGTGTAACTCAAATATTTAACACATTGTGAAAGGTTTATTGTTTGGAAACTTTCCTAATAAAATGGTCAAATATATGCATGGAGGAAATGGCAGCATATATAATCATCAAGGAGAAAGAATCATCAAAAAGTGATTATATATTATTAATAATAATAATAACAGAAATAACAATAATAATGTTGTTTAATATTTAAAAGCTGGAATGAATCACCAAACAAATTAAAAATTATTTAAAATAATGCTTTAAAATTTTATATTATTTCATTCGGACTTATTTAGAAACAGCTCCCCCAACGTCTCGCTACTCACTGGGGGACTTCCAGAGGCCTAGCTGAGCAGCTGCCTAGTTACAAATAGAGGACCGCGCAGCGGATAGCGCCGCTAGACCTTTGCTATAGCAGCAGTAGACAACAGATACGATCTTGCTACTTACTGTAAATGTAAACACTGAAATAGCTTTTTAAGAGTGAGACTTGTTTTTAATATAAATATTTCATGTTTTTTTCAGTTTAAAAAAAATTTGTGCTTGTTAGTAATTTAGTTTTATCGTTGATTTAATGCATGATGGTAACTATGTAGAGAGAAATGCTAGGCCCCTGAAAGTCCCCCAATGGTAGTTGCTAAGTTACCATAATTTTCATTTAAAATTTTGCAAAAGTGGTCTATAGTACTGAAAGTGCCTAACAATATTAATATTAAATAAATACATAAATCTAGAATGTATTCCAACACTTTAATGTTTTGTTCAAAAGATCATATTAGTCAAGGCAATGAAAATTTCTATTAATAATATTTTTTAAAGCTCTCATTTATTTTGTTAAATTTGTTAATTTATAAATAAAAAAATACTCAACTTATGCCCAGGCAAAATTATCTCCCCTCTAATTCTACTAAATTGGTAATTTCCCATACAAAATAGACAGTGGATGTCATGATGTACTAAGGAAGTTCTTGCAATGAGTTTTAATGAAAGAAAACCTAGATCTTCACCTTACTACGTTGCTCACATCATCTCAAAAAGAAAAAAATCAGAACAAAGCAACAAGGATAAAGTTCCTGAACAAGTGGAAGCCCTTGACAACCACAGATCATAACCTTCCTTCTGTAATATATATCTCATCATCACCAATTAAACTAGTTTGAGTATTTGTCAAAGAAGCAAACACCCAGAACCACCCAGATTGTCATCACTTCCACGGTCCCTGACACCACTAATCACAGACTGCGGCAGGATGTTTCTGCCCAATTCCAATGAAAAATTTCAGTTTATTTTCACCACCTAACCTTACTTCCTAAGCCATATTTTTAGTTAAGTAGCTAAAGCTTTCAAACAATTATTGATAAATGATACAGTTAATGAAGTTGTTGTCCTAAATAAAGCATACATCACCTATAAAGAGGTAAAGAATAAAGACAAGAGGTAAAGAATTAAGACAAAAGGTATGTGCAGATTTTGAACTTGAATTTCCAACATCTTGTTTACTAGTGTACAGTAATTTATCAAGGTTTATTAACCAAAAGCTCAGCTCTTCAATTAACTAAATCAATTCATATATATATATATATATATATATATATATATATATATATATATATATATATATCATACAGTAAATTATCTATAAATACTGTAATCAAGTTTAACAATACATAAAGTTACATAAAATCAGTCAATTAAGTAATATATTTTTTATACATTTTCTGTGTTAAAATAAAGCTAGTTATTATTGTTATATCATTATGTTATCAAATGCCATAACAAACTAATTGAGTTGTACTAACTACATGTGCATAGCAATTTCATTAAACATACACAAATATAATAATAAAAAATAAAATTATAAAAGGGCAAAAATGTGAGCTTTACACATCCTTGAAAATCTATAAAAATTAGAGGAACACTTTGAGTATTTTGGTCCAAGGGAAAATTAACCAAAGAGAAGTGTTAATAGAGAAGATTATCAGTATAAAAGATACATTAGTGACAAAATGATGACGATAAATGGCGTAGAATGGACATAAAAAGATCATGGACATTTAATGAAAAGAATGGAAATATAGAGAGTATGGTCAGTTAATGAAAGGGACAAAGTAACAGGATGAGAACAAATGTACTGGACGAGAACAATTCTTTAGAGTGAATACAACAGTTAAGCTAAGTGGATTTTGTGTTGGGTGAAACAGTGGAATGACGAAAAATCCCTTATCTATGCACACTAGAGGCAAGCTTTACTGATCAGTTAAAAAATAGGATCACCTGAGATTAAGCTTTTCCTTATTAGATAGCATAAGCGAGTCTCAATGCCCTATTGGCCATCCACTGCCAACAGCTCAAATTATTATTGTTCAACAATGTTTTATCATATTTTACAGTTATGTTTCAACATAACAAATAAAGGTATAATTAATGCAGGTGTTTTAACTTCACATTTGAAAGTGTATTTAGTATGAAAGGACTTCCACACCGCCACCTATGATCCTGGACCACAACACACCTGCTTGTCATAACCACCGGCATCTTAATTATGATCGATAATACTGAATTTTAAATAGAAACACCAACATGAAATGCAGATCCTGTCACCTCCTAGATTAGAGCAAAAGTCTGGCATACTCAATGTAAAATGCATGCACTACAAATGTAAACCAACTTACAGATCAAAAGAGGCTTCAAGCTGCATTGGACTTAATCAATACATTGTTTATTTAAAGAGGCTTAAAAGGATAACTTTTTAAATATAAAGCAAATAAATATACTTTATTAAACTGCTACTTTAACCCTACATATATCAGGTATCATTCTTAAATTGTATTACATTGTTGTTGTTTGTTAGCATTTTGTTTTTACAAGTGTTGCTAAAATTACAAAGTGAAGGATTATTCTCCCTTAAGGCTTAGTAAATACCTCTT